GCGGGTGCCACCAGGCCCCCCTAATTTTTGTATTTTTAGTAGGGATGTATTTTAGTAGGGTTTCCCCATGTTGGCCAGGCTGGTCTCGAACTCCTGACCTCAGGTGATCTGTCTGCCTCTGCCTCAGCCTCCAAGAGTGCTGGAATTACTGACATGAGCCACCGTGCCCGGTCTTGCTCTGCCTTCCTGACAGTGCAGACCTCGATCCTGGACAGTCTGGCTCGCCCCAGGGTCTCTCAACAGCTAGAACACGCAGGGTCTGGCGCATGGGCCATCCGGAACACTCTCGGCTGGAGCCGTGAAGGAGGGGTGGCCGTCCTCTGTGTCTCTGCGTCTTCCCGCTCCTTCTCTAAGGCCTGTCCTTTTAGTCCCTAGATGAGCGCCCAGCAAGTCACGGTTCAGGCCCAGCAGCAGACCGGCCAGTGGCCAAGAGCGGCCCACCCTCCGCAGCCCACCAGGAAGACACCGTTCCTGCCGTCCCCTGTGTCTCAGGCTCCCGAGGCCAGTGCAGGCCACATGCAGGTCGGGGTGGCTCACACTGTGCCCTCACACGTGGCCACACGGGATCAAGGCCAGTGGCTGACGGGCTCCTTACTGTCACTGCCCTACTTTTAAGACCCACCACTTCCGGAGAGGTAAGGAGACGGGAGTGCGTGGACGGCTCAGGCCGCACCCGCATCCAAGTTCCCTCCTGTCTATTCTCTGCTCTGTGAAGGTCGAGAGGAGCCCTCGAGGCCCAGCCGGTGAGTGCCCAGCACCCTGCACACCCCTCACCCACCTGCCCCTCCCGCCTGGGGTGTCTGGTCCCCAGTGTCACCGACAGCCCTGTCCTCCTGTCCCTCCTGCCTCTTCCTTTGTGCGCTCAGCTGCCTCCGTCAGGCAAACTGCTTCCCTCCCCTCACTTACGTCTCTTCTCAAAACCCGGGGAAGGCTCCGGTTCCCCAGGCCACTGTGGAACACCCCGATGCGCCCAGCTGCCCACAGAGCCTGCGCCTCCCCCTCCCACGTGTGCAGCCAGGTCCACGCTTCGACTCTGCACACCCTGGCGTGGAACCGTTCACACCCTCCAGAGAGCAATCACGGTGAAGCCGCCTGGTTGTCTGGGTAAAAACCAAGCTTCTCCGTCTCTCGGCCAAGAGGCTGAGGTCACAGACACAAAGGCAGAGTGACTCTGGAGCAGGCGTCTAACAGGAAGAAGGGAAGAGCAGCTGTCTGTCGGAGTGGGAGCCCCGGTGGGTGGCCAAGTTGCAGTAAAAATGTTTTTGTAAATGGGCTAGTGAGGAGCGGGTGGCCTGTCTTCCCAGGTCCTGAGGGTGAGGCGGGGGCAGGCGTGCCGTGTGCGTAGACGAGGACTGGGGGCGGGGCGGGGGCAGGCGTGCCGTCTGCGTAGACGAGGACTGAGGGTGAGGTTCGGCCACGTGGTGCCTCCACCAGTGCCTTGCTCCTTTCTCTCCTGGTGTGGATTTCCCGCTTTATCCATTGATCAGCCGACAGACACGTGGTTAGCTTCTGGTTTCTGGCGTCGTGAACAGTGCTGCTGTGAGATTTGTGTATACGTTTCTGTGTGTACGTAGGTTTCATTGATCTGGGGTGTACAGGGTCCCTAGGAGGGCAAGTGCTGGGTCCTAAGTGACTCTGAAGTCCTGAGGCTTTGCCCCACTGTATCTACATGTGACTTTCCCACCAGCAATACATGAGGTGTCCACTGAGCAATCAGAAGGTCCACTCATCCAGGGAAGGAGAGCCATGTTTTTTTTTAAACAGCTTCAACGCAGATGGACAGAGCTATTTCTTAGAAAGGGCTGCACCTTGCAGGGAGGCTGTCCTGCCAGGCTAGAAGGCAGAGCCTCTGGCAGAGACAGAAGCAGGCACATCTGAGCCGAGGAGGCTGTGACAGGGCGGGTGCCAAACAGCCTGGCCAAGAGCACGTGCTCAACAGGCTGCAGGAGAGGAATCTTCAAGAGGAACACGCATGTGCACGAGCAAACACACATGTGACACGGCTTCCATCTGCACCAGGAGAGGCATGAATATTCAAGAGGAACACACATGTGCACGAGCAAACACA